TAGATGGGGAATTTTTATGGAATTTTCCCAAAATTCTAAAAATGTTTACCAAAAAATCAAAAATAAGAAGATTCAATTCCTATTAGAGAATCTTACTAATAACCTTTTTATGATAAAAAAAAACTACCATCTTTTTTTAAAAAAAATTAATGGTTATTATCCCTAATTGAAAGAATATTTTTTCCCAAATGAAGAAATTTTCCTTCCAAAAATTTTCCCCCAAAAGTTTCCCGCCAAAAAAATTTCAGACAAAATTTTTCTCGTTTTTGGCGGAAAATTTTTTGGAAGGAATATTCTTTTTGTTGGAAAGAATATTTCTTTCTTCATCATGTATTATACTAAAAGAGGGTAGTTTAGTGATTTTGTACATTGAAGAGAGTATTTTTGAAAATGGACACCCAAGAGAGTATTTTTGAAAATAGACACCCAAAGAGCGTATTTGAAGAAAAAAGTATAATAAAAATGTTATTTGTGCAAATTCTCTTTCCTATTCTCGATATTTTAACTAAAAAGTAGAATGTTTTTGCTTGACAACAAATATTTTAGAATACTATTAAAAAAATATCCAAATTATAGAGAGAAACTAATAAGAAATTAAGTATGGTGTAGAAAATTCTGTAATTTTTTTTTGGTGGAAATGTGAAAATTTAAAACTATCTTCAAATGAAAAATCATATAACATCATATTGTAATTCTGAAAAATGGAATAAACAATAATAACGTGAAATTTGAAAAACGAGAAAAACTAAAACTGGAATTTTTATGTGAATGTCGACTAAAGAGAAACATCCGACAACAATGAGAGGAAAAAAACATTAATTTCGTTTAGTGAAATAGAAGTCAGACTGAAAAACATGTGTTATTTGTAAAGTAATGCGTTTTAGAGCTATTCCAAGAAAATGGCATATATAAATAAAAAGCATGAGAACGTAGATTCCAGTAAAAATTAAGATTCGATAAAATTCATAATTTCATAATTTCATAATTTGTGGGCTTATCGTAGTCCAACTTGATATTGCTTGCCCAACCCATATCTCAGCTCGAGAGGTTGCTGCAAACATAAAGTTATTTGATAACCTCTTCATTAGTCGCGATGAGACACCACCAAACCTGCTGGAAATGTTCACGCTATTGCTAGTGTAAATGGTTGTCTCAAGTATGATATTTATTAAGATTATAACCATTCAATATTATATTTTATAAGATTTTTGTTTCTTATAAAGTTTAGATTTTTATAATATTTAGAATTCTTATAAAATTTAAATATTTGCTATCCTTGAAAATTCGTTAAGTTTATATATATTATCATTATTTTAAAAGTTGTATAAACTTTGACTTTTTAAAAGATAAGATATTATAATATTTAAATATAAATAATATTTTGAAACTTTATTAAATTTAATATCGTATTAGTATTTAAATGTCCTATAAACTTATTTTTTCAAAATTTTAAATATTTATAATATTTAAACTTCTTATAATGTATAAATATTTTAAAGTAATTTTTATTAAAGTTTATATATTATAATAGTTTAAAACTTTTAGAAAATTTGAATTCTTTAAAATAAAGAACCAGAATAACTAGAATAAAACTTAAAAATTTGAATGCTACTCATTCGTATACATAATCATTTCGATCTTTTTTATAGTATGACTATGAACCATTACCCAATTTATTTAAGCGATTTATTCATCGATTGAGTAATATATATTCATTTTTTTTTTGAATTATATCATATGCAAAAAATCACAAATTTATTTATAAATGTATCATCCAATAATTCGAAATAATAGATACAAGTCAAATAAAAGTAAACATAAAATAATATATTTATGTTTAAATTAGGTAAAGACATTATATGAAATTGCTGTTAAAATTTTGGTAACTAATATAAAGGCAATGGCGTTCTCTGTAGTTGTTTTGAAAGGATTTATTTTAGTAATGTCTTTTAAAAATACTATTGTAGATTTGCAAGGTTATACAACATATTTGTACGGTAATTGTAAAGTATTTATATGATTCTATACATGCATAAATGTAGTATGTGTATGATAGAAAAATCACATGTATTTATATCTCACATTTTTAGAGGTATATTCGATAAAGTTTTGGAGGTGAGACATTTTTGAAAAGTAGTGATGAAAAATTGGCATTATTAGAAATATCCCATTTACTAACACAAATATCCGTCATAGATCAAACTAGGTGATATCCGTATTCTTCACTTTTCCGTCGAAATTGTAATAATTTTATATATTTACGTTAACACTTGTTTTAGATGTTTTTTTGTTATCATGTAAAGATTTTTTTGATATCAATAGTTATAACAAAAGAAAAATATTAAAAAAACAAAAAAAAAAACATGTACCTCTGTTTCCAAACCGAGGAAGAAAGTAAAACCAGGACTACTGTAAAACCGGACTAAATAGCCTAAACCGGATTATCATGACCCTGTTTCCAAACAAGATTTTCAATTGTCTCCTTCGACAACACTCAAATCGCAGAGAAGAAGAAGAAGAAACCAGATTCTTCTCCCTCTCTCTTTCTCTTTCTCTCTCCAATGGCGAAACTTACGACGGACTCACCAATCTGCCGGAAAATTGTCCTTTCATTCTTAGATTTTCTCGATTCCGGTAAGCACCACCGCTCACTTTCTACGAAATTGCGTAATCGATTTCACTATTCGTCTCTAGGATTATTGATTTAGGGTTTATCTTCTATGTAATTGTTGTTCTTTGTAGTTGAGGTAGCTTCAGGTGTTGATGAAGAAGGTCTTGAGGTTGCTAGAGAGTGTTTAGGTGAAGCGTTTAAAGTGAATTCAGATTCTTTGAGAGATGATCGTTTGAAACCTGTTTCACTTGTTAATTTGTTCACTTCATTGGATAAAAGTGAACCTCTACAAAACACACCATCAGCACCACCACTACCAGCTGTTGCTGTTGTTACTCAGGATCCTAGTTCCTCCTCAGGTCCTGAGTTTTCGGGTTCTCATGTCAACGTTGATACGAGTAGAGAGCCTATTTTTACTGGTAAATGAGTGGTTTGTTTCATGTGAGTGCTGGATAGTGTAATGTAATGGAACTTTGTTCTGATTTAGGATTATGATACTTGTAGGGACTTCTAGAGATGAACTGTTTGGACAACTCTTTGGTGCGCTTGAGGAAGTACGGTATTTCAGGAATACACCTGAGGGAGATGATGATCCTGCTCAGTTGGAAAAAGCTACAAGAATATTTCATGATGCTGTTAATGTAGGTTTGATTTCGTTGTTAACTTTTATTGAAGGTTTAATGCTACTTGGTAACGAGTTTGGTGATAAGTTTTGTCTCTGTATATCAGGAAATGGAAAAGTCTGGATGTCAGACGTTTGATGTGAAAAGCTTGGCAGAAACATTCAAGTGTCAAGGTACTTGTGATTGCTTGTGTTATCTTGTTAATGTATAATATAATTGTCATACTGAGATCTGAGATCTGAGAACTGAGAAGTTGTTTAACCTGTCTGGTCTTAACAATATGTAGTCAGTCCAAATTTTTTTGGAATCATGGAAGCATTTTCGTTATTCCTTAGTTGTTCTCAAAAGCATATGTTAGAATGAGATCAGTGAAGATCTATCTTTGGGTCCTTGTTACCTCTATGTAACATTTTGCTGCATTTCAGGTAACAAGGCTATGCAGTCCAATCTTTATCTGGAGGCGATCGAGCTGTATTCTTTTGCAATTGCACTGACGGATAAGAACGCTGTTTTCTACTGCAACAGGTGTGTGATAACTCTTCAACTTTTAGTTTTGAGTTCTAGCTCTTTGGTGGTGTGCTTAGATATTATTTCACTTGTCCAATGATCTACTTAACGAAGAAATAATCATTTATCAGGGCTGCTGCATATACCCAGATCAACAGGTGCTCAGAAGCCATTAAGGACTGTCTTAAATCCATTGAGATTGATCCAAATTATAGTAAGGCGTATAGTCGTCTTGGGTTAGCATATTATGCTCAAGGAAAGTATTCTGATGCTATCGAGAAAGGATTTAAGAAAGGTATATATATGTTTTCTTATAATTTATCTGGACTTCTTTGTTAAGTTAGCATATTCCTTTCATAGGATTGATTGCTTTAGAAAAAGGCTAGAACTTTTCTTCTCCGAGTTAGCTAGTATTTATTCTGTGTAACCTCTTTTATTATACTCATGGCAGCTTTGCAGTTGGATCCAAATAACGAATCCGTGAAAGAAAATATAAGGGTCAGTTTTTATTTTTAATAAATTCATCTGCTATAATATGATCGTTCTATGATTTACATGAGAGTCTGATATTGACCTGTGGATAAACACAGGTGGCTGAACAAAAACTAAGAGAAGAGCAGCAACGACAGAGACGTAGTCAGGTAGTTACACCTCTGAGTCTTGAGTAATCATCTCACGGATTGGAAATAAGACGAGAAACTAAAGTTTTGTGGTTTTGGAAAGAGCAGAATACAAGCACAGGTTACACTCAAGAACCGGGAATGGGAGGAGGCCAGGGAATACCATCTCAGTTCTCAATGCCTTTAAACCCCGATTTGATGAGCATGTTCATGAACATGGCGGGAAACACATTCCCGGGAAATCATCCTAATAACGAGGGAGGAGCAGGAGCAGATGGTAACAGAAGTGGTTCGGATGAGCCTGAGATTCATGTAGGTGCAAATATCAACGTAGATCTCGGAGGCACACAGCAAATGCCCGACGACTTATCAGGTGCATTACGATCAATGATGCAGATGTTTGGAGGATCACAGGGAGGCACTGGTACTAATAATCCTCAAGATACGAATGGTGCACATGGAAGACCATCTGGGAATCAACCTTAGAATTCTATTTTCTGATGTTAATGTCTGAGTTTGTGCTACAAAGACTTTGTTAGGGACATGTTATTACAAAATGATGATAAGAGACTATTAGCTTCTTGTTGATAAAACGTTTTTGCAATACATTTGAAATCAAAATTTAACTATCAGATACATACAATATTTTGGATTCAGCTAGTAAATATGCCATGAAACAAAAGGCAAATTGTTTTTACTATACAAACTTAAAACCCAAACCAACCTTATCAAAATCAAAACAGTACCAAGCCGATAACAAAACACTTAACCAAAGATCTAAATCGGATACTTTGAAGAAGATGTCGAGCAACGGCGGGTATATACAGTAGTTGAATTAAGCGCTCACAGCAAAGCGACAGCAGAAGAGGGTTGAAGCGAACGGATCCTGATATCGTACTTTGTAACACTACGAGTCCTAGGCGATGTCGGATCAGAGTTTTGTGTAACAAGTGCATACTCAGGAGGAGCCTTTTCCTGAGAAGCATTGCCGATATAGTTATTACATTTGCGACAGAGAAGCTTCGTTCTGCGTTTGAATAATCCCCAGGAGTATCTGGAGAAGTGAGGCATGCATTGGAACTCATCAACTTGACTAAATCTGCCTTCATCAATGTTGACGAATGATATGATTCCACTCTTCATGGATTTACCGTACTTTGATCCGATCGTTGACGTGATTCGATTCGTGGAGCTCAGGTTCAGTTCATACCCACAAGATCCGCAACTGCAAGAAAGTTCAAAACCCATTCGTCATCATTATCTTAAAAAGCACAACACGAAAACTGAAGATCAATGTTCTTAAGACAACAACCACGTTTCACCAACCTTAAGACAATTATATTATACACTAAAAAAATTCAAATAACAATCACCATTATCATAAATAACACAACAGCAAAACTGAAGATCAATGTTCTTAAGACAACAACTACGTTTCACCAACATTAACAAAATTCACATAACAATCAATCACCATCAAACACTCAAAACCCTAAAACCAAAAAGCCTAGATTAAGCTACAAGATACAAACAATACAACAACCAAATCAAATTGATTACTCTCCTCAAGCTAAACAACATCAACCTATTTCAAAATCTTCCAAAGAACACAATTACAGAGACAAAAGGGTTCTCACTCAACGCAGATTTTTTACAAAAAGAACAAGCTTTTTGATCTAAGTATCAACAACACTCAAAAACCCTAAAATCAAAAAGCGTAGATTAAGCCAGAAGATACAACAATACAACAATCACATCAAATTGATTACACTCCTCAAGCTAGATATGTAAATCATCAAGCTATCTCAAAATCTTCCAAAGAACAGAACACAGTTACAGAGACCAAAGGGTTCTATCTCAGTGCAAATTTTCAACAAAACTCAATAAAAAAAAACTTGAACCCCTACTTCGTTTTTGTACTAATTAGATACAAAAACAGTCCTGTCAAAGCAAACCTAATCTAAGTAACAGAACCCTAAAACCAAAAAGCCTAGATTAAGCTACAAGATACAACAATACAACAATCAAATCAAATTGATTACTCTCCTCAAGCTAAACAACATCAACCTATCTCAAAAATCTCCCAAACAACACAGTTACAGAGACCAAAAGGTTCTGTTTCAATGCAGATTTTTAACAAATAAAAAAAAAGCTTTTTGATCTACGTATCAACAACACTCAAAACCCTTAAATCAAATAAGCCTAGATTAAGCCACAAGAATCAAAATCAAATTGATTACTCTCCTCAAGCTAAACAACATCAACCTATCTCAAAACCTTTCCAAGAAACAGAACACAATTACAGAGACCAAAGGGTTCTGTCTCAATCCAGTTTTCTAACAAAAACAAACCTTTTGATCTAAGTATTAACAACACTCAAAAACCCTAAAATCACAAAAGCCTAGATTAAGCCACAAGACACAACAACACAACAACCAAATCAAATTGTTTACTCTCCTCAAGCTAAAAAAACATCAAGCTATCTCAAAATCTTCCAAAGAACACAGTTACAGAGACCAAGGGTTCTGTCTCAATGCAGACTTTTAACCCAAAAAAAAACAAGCTTTTTGATCTAAGTATCAACAACACTCAAAACCCTTCAATCAAAAAGCCTAGATTAAGCCACAAGATACAACAATACAACAACCAAATCAAATTGATTACTCTCCTCAAGCTATCTCAAAATCTTTCCAAGAAACAGAACACAATTACAGAGACCAAAGGGTTCTGTCCTAATCCAGATTTTTAACAAAAACAACCCCTTTGATCTAACTATCTACAACACTCAAAAACCCTAAAATCACAAAAGCCTAGATTAAGCCACAAGAATCAAAATCAAAGTAACCTGTAATTAACATGTCTCATAGAAGAAGATGACGAGAAAGATGGAGAATAGAAATGGTTTCCACCAAAACGGCCGTCGTTAACACCCACCGACGCCGATCTCTCCATCGTCGCTGAGATCACTAAAAAAACACCTGAGATGGGTAGAAACTGTCTGGATCGAGACAAAGGTTTTGGAATTAGGTTGATTGAAGAAGAAACGTGTCCCAATCGATTCGGGTGGGTTTGACTTCTCTTATTCTTTGTTCTCAACTTCTACTTCTCTCTTTCCCACGACGACCAATGTCGTGGTCGCTGTTTCTAGTAACGATCGAATTCGAAGTAGTCAGAGATCTATTTTTTTTTTCTCTTTTTTTTTTTTAAATACATTTATGATCTATGACCTGTTTTGGTATTTTATTTTAGCATTGACCTGCTGGATTTTTTAAGGCTCCAAATGATAATTATACCGCACTATAAAACCGACCGTAACAGTATTGTAATAATGTCAAAATATCTGCATATATTTTCGTTACTATTTGAATCGCACCGCATTTTTCCGCAGTAAAAAACGCAGTTACCATTCAGTGTCTTAGTTTTTTTTTTTTAAAAGACATTTTAGTTGACTATTAAAAACTGTGGATAACTCACGGAGTTTTAACCAAATTCACTTATGTAAAAAGAAGAACTAAATACAAACTTTAGGAACAATGCTATCAAATTTCATTACCTTTAAAAACCTATCATACCAAGATCTCATGATTATGCTTTTTTGTCTTATACACCAAAACAAAGCTTACTCTCATTCTCACTAGTGAACGAATTCTCTTTATGCAGACAGCAAGAAAGGAGATTTCCTCTTAAACATAGTAATTAAGATTCTTGGTTTAATTAGATTAACAAGGATTTACCAACTGACATTAATTAAATCATGCTTTGATTTAAGAAATTGTTCAGTGTAGTAAACTAACCGGAATTAAACCGATTTCACCACAATATTATTATATAAAGTTGAATTTTCAAAATTAGTCATTAACAAGATCGTGATACTTGTTAATTAAATTGATAAAATGTCGACATTTGTCAGAAAATTAGTGGTAAGAAATTATATAAATTAGTTTTCTAAAAAGAATATTTTCAAAATAGAAAGAAGAAAATAGAATTTCAAGAAATTTAACAATTACTTAGTAGTAATCCTAAAAGAAAAAGATAGTAATTATAAAATAAATTTATTAATATAATATTATAAAAATTAGGTTTAAAGAAAGAAAAAAATTAACAAATAAAGAAAAAATACAGTCAGTTAGTCAACTATAAGTTAATCTTAGAATATATTTGCATTATCGTGAATATTATATAATATTTAAATATTTTGAGAATTTTTGAGAAATACCCCTTTTGGTGTACCCTTTTTAAAAATACCCCCTTTATCTATCCATTTTCAAAAATACCTCTTTTTAAATATAAAAAATTATAAAGTTTTATATAGTTTATAAGGTACTTCTATATAATAACAATTACTGGGAGATTCGATACAAATATTTTAAAATGTTTTAAATAGCTTTAAATCGTTTTTATAAGTTTTATAAGGTTTTTAAAAGGATTTATACGTATTTTATAAGGTTTTTATAAGCTTTTTATAATTTATTTTTACGCTATTTATGAAAGGTATATAAATTTTTATACACATATAAAGGTAATTTGTGTATATATTTATAAGCTTACACACATACTTGGATAAATTTCAACATTTTTAGTGGGTTTTTTGATAAAGTTTGAAAAAGGGGTATTTTTAAAAAGAGGTATATGAAAAGGGGTATTTTTGAAATTCCCCCAAATATTTTTGTTCAGTAAGATAATTTAATTAAGTTAGTTATTAACATGATCGTGACATGTGTCAATTGTATCGATAAAATATTGACATGTGTAAATTCAAGTTTTATGTCGATTATTTTTTTACATGTGTGTATTATTTAACAAAATTATGTACATGAGCCACTCGAGTTCCCAAATACAACTAGAAACAAATCATAGCAAATAAAACAAGAGAAAACAGTTTCCGAATACAACTTCTGCTTCTCTCTCCCCCACGATGACTAATGTTGTGGTCGCTGTTTCTAGTAACGATCGAATTCGAAGTAGTCAGAGATCCAATTTTTTTTTTTCAAATACATTTATGATTTATGACCTAATTGTTTTGGTCTTTTGTTTAGTATTGACTGCTGGATTCTTTAAGTTTTTTTTTTTGTAAAAAACATATTTGTTGTCTATTAAAAAACCTTTTAAAAAATTAAATTAAATTAAAACAGATTTATCTAAATTTTGACATATGTAACAAATAAATTTAAGATATTATGATTACTTTGGGTATTTAGGTGTAAATCTAATTGATATATTTAAAATTATAATTATAATATTGGATAAATAAATGCTATTAATATTATATATTAAAAATATTATAGATATTTGTATATTGTTTGGGTTTTATGGGTGCCCATTCGGGTAACGGGTATTACTCTAACCCTAACCAATATAAAACCCAATAGGGTTATTTAGACATACTCGTACCCTACCCGAACCGGTTTTTTCGGGTCTGGTTCCGGGTTGGGTATTCGGGTTCGGTTTTTTTGCTCAGTCCTAGAAGTTTTATGTCGATTTTTTTTACATGTGTAATTTATTTAACAAAATTATGTATATGAGTCACTCGAGTTTCCAAATACAACTAGGAACAAATCAGAGCAAATCAAGCAAGAGAAAACAGTTCAAATCTTTTATGTCTATTTAGGTTTAAAATAAAGAGTAGTGTATTTATATAAGATTATTTATCGGTTTAAATTTATAAAGAGGGACTTGCAAAAATAATTTTTTTAAGTTACTCTTTTGTACATATACCCTCTCTTGGTGTTTATTTTCAAAAATACTCTCTTATATGTACAAAATGACTAAATTACTATCATTTAGTATAATTCATGATAAAGAAAGAAAATTCTTTCCAACAAAAAGATTAATCCTTCCGAAAAATTTCCCGCCAAAATTTTTCCGCACATTTTGAAAAAGTATCTATTTTAAAAAATACTTTGGATATAATATTCTTACATTAGAATATTAATTTTAATTTTATATTGAAAATAAATATTCCATCTAATAGACGGGTCTTAACTCCTAATCTATATTAGAAAATATAATATTCAATTAATATTGATTTTTTTGTTAATGTTATGATTAGCCAAATTTTAACACATGCAAATTTTTCAATTCATACGTGAAAACATAAATTAATTAGAAAAGATAATAATTTTATTGGTATGAATCTTTATTTATTGATGAAGATATTTGTAAATCTTTAGGGAGGATTTTTAGATCTAAATATATTATAAATTTTTGTGTGTGTAATGATTTTTAAAATTTGAACACATGAAACCTTAAAAATGAAATATAAAATATAATTTTTTAGGTATGAATTTTCTATTATTTGATGAGAAGATTTGTATATCTTTAGTTTTGTTTTATTTTATAAATTTTAACTCATTTAAAATTATAAACATTAGATAAAATTTACACTAACTTTGAACCCGCATTTTTACGCGAGCTCTTATCTAGTGATGTATACAAACCCAACTATTCCATTATTTTCTAGAACACAAACGATACAATAACACTATAAATATAATGTGGAGTACATTTACTACTTTTACCTTAATTATATTTGGATATGTAATTATAACAACTTTTTAAAATATAGAAACAATATCATTCCCAACAAAATAAAACGTCCACTAGAGCATTAACACTTTGTAACATATTTATGTATTTAATTTTCTTTTAAAAAACATATTTATGTATAGAACATATATATATGATGTCTCTATATTGCTTTTGTAACTTCACCGGGAAAATCAAGCTTAACAATATATATTTCATATACATATTCTAAGATATTCTACAAAAACATAATGAAAACAAATGTTTTGTTTTTGACTCTTCTAATTTGTATTTCTTCATGTAAGTTTAAATTTTGGAGTAGGATATTTGTATTTCTTTCTAAAATCATTATTTAATAATTTTGAATATTTGATAGGTACATCGATATTTATGAAAACTTCTAATTCAAAAGCGATCAAATCAGCAGCGACTCCTCCAATTAGTTTTGAGTTAGGTGAAGACATACATATTAAACCGTCACTAATTTTTGGAGAAAGAGCTTTTTGTTATGACTGCGGAAAAGCTTGTCATCGAAGAAATAGACTACTGGGTAATTGTAAAAATTTCATATGTCGTTGCAGATACACTAAACTTCATGACTAAGACAATGTAATTTGATGATTTGATTTATGAATAAACTATGAAACAAAATAATTTATGAAAAGTCTCGACCCATTTTTTTTAATTAATTAATGATCTCACTTTACTAAATAGCATGCATAATTAACCTAACCATCAATCATACAACACTAAGCAAACCCGTGGAAACAGACCAATATCAATATACCAAATAACCAACAATTCAACAATGTCATATAACAATAGTCAATAACCAACAACCTACGCATTAGTTCTAAAAGCAATATTCTAAGAACTAACATCATAACATCTGCCATAACAGAACAATCACAACACCGAACGAGTGGCTTAGATCATCCTCCTCCTCATCATCATGATACCACAATTACACTTTGCATTTACATGCACCACAAACAAAAAGATGTGTAAGTATTACCAAGAATACTTAGTGAGGCAATACTCCCATCAACTGGGCTATACACACAAGCGATAAGCCAACACAAACAAGAAAGAAGCAAATCATGCATCGAAGAAAACATATCAGCTGCTTGCTAAGGACATTTATAGATCAACACCCTCCTAGTGTCGGTCGACACTCGCATTCCACTAACTCCAGAACACCTTTAAGGTGTCGATAGAACACCTTTAAGGTGTCGATCGACAATCTTCTTTAGTTTCGATCATTACCCACTTGCAACACATATCATTGGTGTTGACCGATACCCGCCTAGTGTCGGCCAAATTTGTTTTGAAAAGACCCTACCCATGTTTTATATAAATATAATTAAACATCTCATACCACTTAATTAACCACAACCAACAAACCAACATGCACCGCAAAAACATACCAAACCAACTCCAATTAATCATAATAATAATTAACCTTAAATTTAGGAACAATAATTTAGACTAGCAACATAGCATGCGTCTAGATAAGGTTCCCACAACAATAAACATAACCAGAACAATAGTTAAAATGCCCGACCATGTTTCTAAAACTATGACCGCATGACATACAACAACACTACCTCGTCCGAGACCAAAATTTCGATAAACTTTCGGCAACTATGCAATTTCCCACAAAATTTTCCAACACAGATCGATTCCAGCTAAAAAGATGCAGCAGATAAACAACAACAACAACAACAACAACAAGAATCAAGCTAAACTTATTTGTACCTTTTCCACTAACGAACCAGAATCACGAGTTGGACGCACTAGAATCCACGAGACTCCTCGTAAATCTTTCCGATCCAATCCAATGTCTCAATTCTCCTTTGCACGAGATTCCAAACACAACTTCCACAATCATTCAACCATTGATTATTCAACCAACATCTCTCCTCGGTGCTTAGTCACTGAACCTACTATCCCCAGATGACTAGGCATGAAGAGATATGTCTGAAACCCACATCACACCGAACATACTCACATATCGCAGACCAGAAAATCATATCGTACTGATGTGATAATTTTTGGTGGTTTGAAGCTCTTTTTCTTAATAACCTTTGGGTCTTAATTCGCTACTATTACTTGTGAATATGCATTTATCATGTAATTTAAATTATATAGCATTTAGAGTCCTAGAATTGCATATGTATTGCATTTGGTGTTGATTTAGGTACAAAAAGGGACAAATGAAGCTTAATAGGAAAAATGAAGTTTTGGATCACAAAAAATGTGTAAAGAAAAGCTCAAGAATTTGAGAAACCACATGGACAAGGTTGAAGAACATCAAATTAAGAAATTTGGGTCGAAACAAAAATGGATTGGGAGTTATGGTTAGGAAGTTATGAAGATTTGGAGATCAGAAATGTAGTAAAGCGAACCAGATCCGATCCAGTTCGAACCGGATCGATCTAACTCGGACCAAAATCTCTTTTTAATCAGTTTTTTACATTTTTGTTTACCAAGCTCGGTTATCTAAGTTCAGATTGGATCTATACAATTGTTGTTGAATCTTTTGGTGAATTGGATGATTAAACTTTATTTTTATTTTGTAATTTCATATTTTCTTGTGTTTTTCTCTTCTCGTTATTTATTTTGCAGTTCTCACCATGATTTATTCCATAATCATGTGTTAGTAGACCTAATCAATGAGTTTTTTGGTTAAAGGTAGATTAGGGAGTTTTGATGGTTAGGAATTGGTTCTCAAGATTAGTAATTAAGGTATCTATCATTAGCAAATGGATTTGTGGTTAGGATTTGATTGGAAAATTAAATTCCTTAGCTTAGACATTTCATGCACACAAGGTGTTTGATGAAATGTCAATTTCAATCCTGAAGAACAAAATATATTATAGCCAATGTAAGTTGATGTCTAGAGGGTTATGTAGGGTGTTTAAGCATGAATTTAATGATCACTATATTTCTTGATTGCATTTGAGAAATCTTAGCATGATTAAGAATAATTAGTGAATGAACTAGAGTCATAAAAGTGAATTAGTTTATAATTAGGGGCTTAAGAATAATTATAGTCTTAATCGCATACATAGGAACCAAAACCTAACTGATGAGCTTCCTAGTGCAATCTACCAAGCTAAAAAGACCAATAGACCATTATATTCTTGCATTTTCGTTTTTGACTTTTGTGTTGACTTTTATAAATTGCATATTCTCATTCATTTTGTCTTACTTTATGTTTATTGATATTTGCTTAGCTTACACAATATTTTAGGTTGGTCAATTATCTTTAGTTATTTCACTTGCATTAGCTTCTTTATTTCCATTTTGTTTACGTTGTTAGTTGAAATCAAATCTGTGCATTGTCCTAGCTTAGTTTAATTCTTGCATTTTTAGTGTGCAAACTAGATTTCTTGTGGTTCCACCCTAAGTGCTATAATGATATGATCACTAGTGCGTAAGGATATTAATTGGTAAAATTCACTACATCACGTACCTCACAAGATACCGAATAGTACCTTGTTTTAAAATTAATATATACAAATTTTGATAAAATAAAATATCAATCCATAAGAAGATAAAGTCCTTCCTTTTTGGATCTTTTAGCGAATTTGGAAGGCTTGAAATAATTATATTTTATCCAGACCAAAGATGAAACAAAAGAATGGTTAAACGTTCATAATTAATCATAAACAGTTTCTCGGACACAAAAAGATACTTCATGGTTGAAATTGGGCCAAAATAATTTAAAATACAATTATGATGCTGGTTTTGATGAAACGACTGGTCAGGTCTCTTGTGGCTAAATAATCCGTGATCATTTAAGAGAAGCAAAGTATTGGGGTTTCGCACAGCTTGGAGTTGCTCTATCATCTTTACAAGTAAAATCAAAGGCACTTATTTTCGCTATGCAACAAGTCTGGATCAAGGGTCTTACCGAAATGATTTTTCGAAGGAGATTATCAAGTGTTCAACAAGAATATCAATGGCTCCATCCAAAATGTATCAGTGACGGGATTTCTTCAAAATATTAGATTTTGGTTCTCAAAGTTTAATGATATAATGTAATGAAGCATCTCATAGATTGGTAATATTTGGTTGTTTTTAATTCTATTTTTTACTTTGATTTAACAAATTTGCCACAGTGGCTCTATGAACAAGTGTATTTGGATAGTTCAAATTCAAAATAAATCTCTTTTGGCTTGGCTCGTTTGAGTCCTTAATATGAAAGTTGTTGACATAAAAAAAAAAAAATTATAACCATGAGTAACAAACCATTCCGGTTCAGTTCTGTCTTATAAACCAAAAAAAAAAACCAAATTTGGGTTTAATCAATATAAGCGTAATTGCAAACCAATCCGGTTAAAAACCAAAAACAAACAACACCCTCTTCGAACAATCGCAAGTCCTTTTCACTCCCCCTCAGATTTCTAGGGTTCGCTCAAACAAACCAAGACAAAGCAAATTTGTGATTCACAGATTTGGGGATTTCACAGATCGGAACCCTAAATTATGCCGCGAAACAGAGATGAAGACGATGATGTTGACGAAGACTACGAAGGATTGGATTTAGAGGAAGAAGAGGAGGAAGAAGAAGAAGAGGATAGAGGAAGAGGCGGTGGCGGCGGTTCTAGACGGAAGAGAGGAAGATCGAGTTTTATTGATGATTATGCGGAGGAGGATTCTCAGGAAGAAGACGATGATGATGAGGATTATGGTAGCCGTGGAGGTAAAGGAGGTGGAGCTGGTAAGAGAAAGAAGCCTTCTGCTTCCATTTTTTTAGACCGAGAAGCTCACCAGGTTGATGATGAGGATGAAGAGGAAGAAGAAGATGGAGAAGATGGTAAGTAGTATTGCTTTTGGAAATCGAATTCGACCATTATGTTATGTTTTCTTTAGATCGATTGGTTTGAAGTTTTTGTTTTGTGCAAATCAGTGGTATGGTCGTTTCTAGTTGATTTTGTGATTGAGATTGTTTCTTAGAAGAGATGAGAATTTTTACTCTGAACGTTGAAGTCACCATTGAAGAGATGATAAGAAATGATGTTTCTTTTGTTATTGTTAGTTGTGCAGGAACAATTAGTGTTGAAATGGTTACTCGTAGAGATACTAAAGTGTCTATGATTTTCTTCCTTTTGGTAGTCACTGGAAATTGTAACTACTTGAAGTTCTTTTGAAAAAATGCAGACTTTATAGTGGATGCTGGAACTGACCTTCCCGATGAGCGTGGTGGTGATAGACGGTACGATAGGAGGTTTCTTTCTCGTGATGAAAATGATGAGGATGTGGAAGCTCTCGAGAGAAGAATTCAAGAACGGTTCTCTAGGCATCATGAAGAATATGATGAAGAAGCTACAGATGTAGAACAACAAGCCCTTTTGCCATCAGTTCGTGATCCAAAACTGTGGATGGTGAAATGTGCGGTATGGGTTTGACATAATTTGCATTAGAAGTAGTCTTGCTTCTGCTTCTTCGTTACGTATTTAATCTTATTTTCTGTGATACTTGGAACTGATTCTCCCTGATTTTTACATTGCAATGTCAGATTGGCCGCGAAAGGGAGGTTGCTGTTTGTCTTATGCAAAAGTTTATAGATCGAGGAGCAGATTTGCAGATCAAGT